ATGCCTGCCACTGCCTGCTGTGGAGCAACCTCAGGCCGGCCAGGATAGTAACCTGTCTCAGCAGCACTTTGCACACATTGTATTGGGTCCCCAGATAGACCCTACTGGTTCCTAAACCAGAGCTGCCTTGGGAGTGGCAGGCAATGTGTGCAGGGGCGGGAGTGATGACCATGCACATCCCTGCCTCTGCCGACAGGCAGCCTGTCCATCCTGCTTCAATGCCTGAGAGCTTCACCTTACCTCCTTCCACCCCCCCCCATCCTAAAGATGGCAACTGTGGCAGAGGTGGGGGGAGCTTCCACATGCCAATGGGAAAATAGAATTGAAGACATATTCACTTTCGTGCAAAAATAATTAAAATCCATGCACGTGCAAGGTCTTCAGAACGTTCATGGGGAGTGTGGGTTATGAATGTGTTTTCAAATATTTTGCACCAAAACAAACTGATCTTTTGATTCCATTTTTCCATAAGCTTTTTAAAGTGCTTCCATGCCAGATTATTTTTCACTTCAAATTCTAGCCAGAGATGCCTGGGGTTTGCTCTGGGAGCAGCTGTAGCTGCAGGGTAAACTGGCAACTTCCAAAGCCACCTTCTGAAAGGCAACACCCAGCAGCCCGGCCACTGAGGTGGCCAGCAGGTGGCCCCTGTGTGGGAGAAGACCCACGCCTAGCCCGACTTCCAAGCTGAACCATCGCCCAGATGTGCACAGGCAATCATCCAGGGGTGACCGGGAAGGGAAACTGACCCAACTCTTAAGTGCTGACACTTTTGGAGATGACTTCGGCATCTGGGCGGCCCTGCTGGGGGAGCCTGATCCTGCAGCTTCTGCAGCCCAGCTGCCATGCTTCCTGCTACCTGGGGAGGGCGCTGTCCAGGAGTGTGACTGCTGGGCACCTGCTTTCGGAGGTGGTTGGGGAGATGAGCTGAGCATACTCACAGAGCACTCAGGACAGGGCCTCCACTAGTATTGTCACTGCATTCACACAGACAAGTTGCTGGCACCCTCAGTAGATGCCAAGGGCAGAGGTTCTACTCCAGTAGCTTTCCACCTGTCCTTCAAGGTTGGGGAGTCCAGGGTGAAGACCCAGCATTGGACACCCAGGACGGTCTGCTTCAAGGGACGGCTCTGCAGGTCACATTGAGCGCGATCCCGCTGTCAGCCTAGTGGCCAGCAAAATGACCTCACAGGTTTCATCCTGTTTTCATGCCCTTGATGATGAAAGCCCTCTCCCTGGGGCACATGCCAGGGAACAACACAACCAATAACCTAGTACGTCATAAGATTGACATTAAAAAAAATACCCAATTTTAGAAAGCTGAATGAGGAATGATTCACACGGGGAGTTCTAGGTGCCAGTGACAGCCGACGGGCGGGGAGCATGCGCGGCCCCTCCTTTTCTCAAGCCCTTCATTCGGCAATGTGGGAGCGGGGCCTGTCTGGAGCCGAGAAATAAAGCCGGACAGATAGGATCGTCCTGCTGGGTGCCTCCCGTGGAGGGGTCGGCAACAACGCAGGTGAACTTGGGAGTTTCCTACTGTTGCAGTTTGGGAGAGGAGGCTGGAACTGGCGTGGGGCGGTGGTGCTCCTGTGCAATGAGCAGGTGCAGCAGCTGGCGTCTGTGGCAGAACGGCCAGTGCTTCAATGCCAGCACCACAGCATGGAGCCTCGGCTGCTCCACTTCCCAGCTTCCTCCCTGCTGACAGCCTCAGAAAAGCAGCAACAGATGGCCCCAGCAATTCACATAGGAGATCCAGAGGAAGCTCCTGGCTTCAGGTCTAGCTCAGCCCCAGCTGTTGTCTGCATCTGGGGAGCAAACCAGCAGAAGGGCTTGTCTCTTTTTCTCTCTTTCAAATAAATAGAAATCTTAAAAACAACCTCATGTAGCCTTGTCCCTGTGCTCAGAACATGGGAGCTCGAAACGGCAGAGTTGCAAGTTCTGGCAATGAGGTCTTCGCACACCTGTGTCTGTTCAGTGAGGCCAAACCATGAAGCCCCAAAGCATTATGACTTAAGTCTTAGGGAGAGAGCCTTTCTGTGTATAAATGAAGAAATTCTCCACAGTGGAAATTTATTAGGCAATAGGTACATGAAGTACTTAAAAAATACTTACGGGGTGGAGCATGATGGCTCTGCCTGTCAGCCCAGCATCTGTTATGGAAACTGGTTCATGTCCTGGTTGCTCCACTTCCCATCCAGCTCCCTGCTTGTGGCCTGGGAAAGCAGTCGAGGATGGCCCAAGGCCTTGGGACCCTGCACCCATGTGGGAGACCCAGAAGAAGCTTCTGGCTCCTGGCTTTAGATTGGCTCAGTTCCAATCATTGTGGCCATTTGGGGAGTGACTCAGTGGATGGCATGAGCAAGTGAAAACATAGGAGCCACACCGACCCGCAAGGATGTCCAGCAGTGGTGGCTCAGGCAGTCTCTTGCTGGGTGGCTCAAAGGCCCTCCACTGGCTTTCCAAACCATGCCAAAGCAAAGCAAAGAGTCTAGGTGGTGACCCATGGGCCTCATATTACACAGGGACAAGGGCAGGCTCACAGGAGGCAAGAGGCATGCCAGTCAAATGGTCTTCACTCCTGGAGCTGTCTGAATGTTCACTCTGCCCTCTCCATTGTCCTTGTATGGATGGGCCCAGCTACCTTTCTGTGGGTCAGGCATCATGCTGGGGACCTTTGCCCAGGCTACAGTGAGCCTCTGTCACCCAGCCCAATGTGCAGAAAGGACTCCTCAAACACACAGCTTGTCTGTTTGTCTGCCAGAGTGAGCTGGGAAAACCTATGGCTGAATAGGCAGGAGGTTTCAGTTCCATTCAGGCTTAAAGCTGATGTTGGAGACCTCAACTCATGAGTATCCATGTCTTTTTTTTTTTTTTAAGATCTTTCTTTTCTTTAAATGTACTTGAAGTGTGGGTTTGCAGAGCGAGTGAGAAACAAAGACAGGTTTTCCATCTGCTGGTGCACTCCCCAGATGGTTGTAATGGGCAGGGCTGGGCGAGGCTGCAGCCAGGCGCCTTTTCTAGGTCTCCCATGTGGATGCAGGGGCCAAGCACTTGGGCCCTCCTCTGTAGCTTTCCTGGGCTGCACTGGAAGCAGAATAGCCAGGACTTGCCTATCTTATGTGCTGCAATGCCAACCCCCTAATACCTGTAATTGTCATCCTATTTGTAACTTGGGGGCCACAGTGGGGGGATCCCTGGAATCTGGAAACGAGCTCATTCTTAGAGGAAGAAACTGTCAAAAGCACTTGGAAGGCATGTGTGGAGAAGCTGAATCATCTTAAAGAAGCAGAATGAGTCTTTGGCCAGCAAGACTGGGCAGGAGAAACATCTTTGAGCATCCGTCTTAAGGTGTAATCTGCTGAGCAGTGTGCCACCCCTGCAGGCTCTGTGTTCAGGAGGACAGGAGACCAGCTCACTTCTCACTGCATATACTTCTGACACCTGGCCACAGGGTAAGCCCTCGATAAGCAGATGAACTGCACACAGCCAACAAAAGAACACAACTGTCAGGTCGGCAAGGGAGCTCCAAGGAGAGAGGACGGTGCTGCAGGGCTCCTCCTAGCTGGCCAGGAGAGGACCTGCCAGAGAAGGGAGCTTCTGCTGAGGACGGAGACCTCCCTGGAGCCATGCACACAAACCAGCTACACTGACCTATTCTAGCCCCAGGCTACCACCTGTAATTCCCTGAATGAAGTGGCCTGTCCCACTGGGGTCATGTGCCAGACCTGCCAGTTGCTACCAGCTGGTTCCCCAGGGGATGAGCCTGCTGTTCAGATACGGCCAGACCTGTCACCACGCCAGGTCAGTCAGTTGGAAAACAGGGTCACTATGGCATCTTCCACCCCACCTCCTAATGGCCCCTTGTTCTCCACCTGCAGGATCTGCTGTTTTGGGTGGGATTTTTTTTTAAGTGGGTGGGGGTTGTTTTTCCTGGGATACCTATTGTGCCATGTGTTTGTAAGGAAGCAGATAACAGAAAGCAGTGGTAAAAACTTGCATGCAACACACAAGAGAATTGCTCCTTCCCTGTCGGGTACATGTCTGCTTGACGACCAAGTTGCGTGTGCTGCCTTTTGACCCATCGAGCTGAAGGGGCAGAGTCCAGCTGAGAGCCATGGTGAACTGAACACACCCTAAATCGGACATGTCTCTGGGAGAAGAGGAGCTCACGGGCAGCAGGAATGGCTAGGTTACATTTATGGAGACGGATGGTCAAAGATGAATCCATGGGAGGTGCATGGGGTGGCCACACCACGCTGCTCACCTGCAGCGGGCACAGGTGTGTCATGTCGGCTTATCCCAGGGCTCAGAGGGCAGTTCTAGCTCACAGCGAGCAAGGTTGGAGCCAGCACCCCATGATGCTCCCACCATCCTACGTGGTGATGGTCTAGCTCTCACCCCAGTGACACCTTGCACACAGACACTGGATGCAAGGCAGCAGGGAGGGGGTGCCAGAGTCCAGGGGCAAGGGAGAAAAGGGGACCCAGTTGGGCAGGAAAGCTGGCACTGCAAGGATGGACTTGTTACTTAACTTAGAGGAGGAGCTCCTTGGACCTGTACTAATTACACACACCTGTTCCATGTCCCCCTTGGATGACTATACTATGGTGGCAGCCCCAGCTGATCAGACCCCAAGCCTGAGATGCAAGAAGGTAGCATGGTCATGAACTCTGGTCTCATTTCTTTGCTGCCCTTCTTTCTTGGCCTGGCTTAGGGGCACTCTTGCTTTAAGGCATGGGCAAAGGTGACAAGCGTGCACTTAGCAAGGACAGGCAAAATGGTGGCAACACAAGCACACAGCTCTCTTACACACACACACACAAACAAGGAAACTTTCTGGCTACAAAGAGAAAAGCACATCTTTTCTTTCCAATTTACAGAAACTGAGGCTTGCAGCATCAAAGTGAGGTACGTTCTTGACAATGGTGAGGGAGGCCACGCTGCACATCTCGGAGTCTGAACTTTTCACCCAGAGAACTCTAAAGCATGCACATACATACCCGACCTGGGTACTGTCGCGATACGGCAGCACGGAAAATATACTACACAAGGATCTTCTGCCACTGATAAGGACTATTCTAAAAAATAAAAAAAAAAGAACAAACAACAAACAGACTAAATGCAGACGCAAATTAAAAAGCAAAACAACTCTACAGCAATTAAGCATTCATGGAATTCACAGCAGTTATTTATTCACACACGCCCGCCACCTCCCCAAACAGATGGCATTCTGCTCTCCTTGCAAGAAACAACCCCAGCTCGGCAGTAAGCTGCTGCCCAGCCTCGCCCAGATGCCACGGGAGATGCAGCAGGGGCTGGGGGGGAAGGGGAACACAAGGTTCTTCGCTCTGGAGCCCATACATACAAGATGGAGTAGGGGGCACCAAGCCTGGGGTGGCTGGTGCTGGGCAGACAGTCATGTTGCATGTGAGCCACTTGTGTCTGTCCCACAGCAACCTCCACCCCCACTCCATGCCATTGCTGGCATTCGAAGTGCTGGCCACATGCTAGTCTCTGAGAACAATTACGTAATCAAGTCTTCCCCCAACCTCGGCTACAAAGATACCACTGCAGACAGTTTTGCACGCGGCTCTTATGCAATCAGAACCACTTAAAAACCATGAAAAGCAAAAGCAAAACCCCAAACCTCCAAAAGCCCTTATCCCAGCATCTGAAAATTCCCTTGGCCTAAGGGAACTGCTGATGGAAAAACGGGAAAATGAGTGGGAGAGATCAAAAAGCAGCAGTCTCTTTTGGCCTACTGTGGACACAGATGAGAGTGTTATCAAACGGGGGTGGGGAGGAAGCAGCTCCCACCTGTGTCAAGGTCTGGGGGTTTCAGCTTTGTCTTATGAGTCCCAGATTAAACCGCCTGCAACTCTAGGCAAAGCCTCGCTTCCTGACTTGCCTAAGCCGACCCTGTCACCCAAAGCCCCTTCTGTTCCCCTAGCCTCCACAGGCACACCATACTCAACTTCCTCCCGCTCACTCTCATTCAGTCAGGCAAAATCCTGCCTGATCCCTGGTTACGGGAAGAACTGCCTTTCAGGATGTGTGTCCTCTGCCCACGTTATCTTCTGTCTGTTATGCCTCACCTTGTAACACCCGATGAACTAGTTATTCAAAGCCCAGCTCCCCATTCACCGGGTACCTGTTCCCCTGGCAGGTGCAACTTCCACTCCTCATTCTTGCCACCAGGACTGCACTGATGGGACTGGTGCTGCCAACCCTCTGCCTGCCTGCCTCCTCTTTTTAAAACCCCTTCAAAAATGCCCATTAGGTGTCACTGAAACGTAGTTTGGGCCATCAAGAGGCCCCTGAGTGCCCACCACGGGGGCAGCTGCCTAATTCTCTGCTTCTAACACCAGCTAGGACAGCAGAGGGACCACACCACATCTCTGCCCTAGTTTAGAAATGTGATGCATGGGAAGATGCTGCCCAGGGACAACGAGATACCACAAACTCCAACCCCGGCCACTGTGGTGAGCACAGTGGTGTTTTATCCAGAGTGGGCTGCCAAGGCCAAGGGTCAGATACAACAGCCTGCTAGCCTCAGCCTGGCCACTGGATCTCTCACACGTGTAGGCCACAAGAGATCTTACAATGGCACAAGATTCAGAGCAATCTTGTTAAGCAGCAGTATAACGATGGTTAACACTTAAAAAAAAAAAGATTTATTTATTTTTTCATTGAAAAGGCAGATATGCAGAGAAAAGGAAATATTGAGGAAAAGATCTTCCAAGTGGCTGTAATGGCTGGAGCTAAGCCGATCCGAAGCCAGCGGCCTCCTCTGGGTCTCTCATGAGTGTAGGATCCCAAGGCTTTGGGCCATCTTGCTTTTTCTCAAGCCACAAGCAGGTAGTTTGATGAGAAGTTGAGCAGCCGGGATACAAACCGGTGTCCATATGGGATCCCAGCAGTTGCAAGACAAGGATTTTAGCCATTAGGATATCACTCTGGGCCCCAGCTAACACTTCTTACAGACTGGCTGGCTGTAAACTCCCATTACACAGAGGCACGAAGGCACTCACCAAACCTACCTTCAAATTCTTCATCACTCGCTGCTCATGGGGCTACCTACCCACATCCTGAATGTGTCTGGATCATTTTAGCAGCACAAGAAAATAAGAGGATGCCAACATCAACACAGTGTGCGTCTTCTTTCCAATGATTCAACCACAAAGATGCCTGTTCATACAAGGGCTGTGTTGTTTCATCAACGAGTGTTCGCTCTGGTGACCTGAACCAGCAAGTCCACGAGAGGCCGACCACACGCACCTCAGTCAGAAAAAACGTCATGCTCTTGCTTGGGTCAGGCCAGGCAGCTCTGGACGTGGACTGACCGCCAACAACCCTGCTGGGTTGGGACTTTTCTGTCGGGTCGGTTTCAAATGAATGAAGAAGGGAAGGCCAGAGCAGACATGCAGATCCGCCCAGTGCTTTCACAAGCCTCTGTGACTTGTGCAGGAATTAAAGCAGCCGCTGACAGTGTCAGGATTGATGATATAGAGCCAACTTCAAAGCCAAGCATCTTTACAAACTGCCTGCTTCCTTGTCTTCACATCCAACCACCATAGCTACCGACCGGCCTGTTCAAGTCGCACACCAGGAGCCCACCCAGCTTCCCCTGCTGCCAGGGACACATGGCATATGGCCTGAAGTCTGGACAACCAGCAAGCATTAGGGAAAAGATCAAGACTTCAAAGGAGGAATTAATTGTTGGGCCTGGGAATGAAAGGGCACATTCCTCCACAAGCACCTGCAGGTGGGTGCGGGGAGGCAGTCTCCAGGCACAAGTGCAGGAAGCTGGAGCCTGGCGTGTGCTCACTCCTTGGTGGCTTTGAGTTCTCTCTCACGAGGTGCTCCCAGTAGATCACAAGTTTCCACAGCGATGCTTCGCTCGAGATACTGGAACATTCTATAGAGCTCAGAGACACAACGACTTTTCCGGAATCAACCTCCCCTACCTTCCTACCCAGCATCGACCATGTCTGGCATCATTCAGGACCTTTCAGTGCATCTGCTTTTACTGCAAGCTGGTGCATGATTCTCCTGCCAGAGTCCTGCAGAGCCTCTGTTGGCTGTCAGAAGGTCCAACCCCCTCCAAGTGCATCATCCCATTACAGCAGAAATCATCTCTTACAGAGGAGTCTGAAGCAGCAGCCAGAGGCAGGTGCTGGGGGAGGCGAGAAAGCCACACCCACAGCAATATATAGCAAAATGTACAGTATAAACACTCAAACACCCTCCCCGACCCATGCCCAGTGTCCATGGCAGGCTCCTGGCACACACACAGAAATGAATTTCCCAAATTCTGTAGTCTATTTTCTACATGGCCAAGCAAAACACACTACTATGTCCCCCTAAGGGCAATGTGGAAGCCCTAACTCCCGGAATCTGTGGATGTGGGCTACCTTCTGGGGAGCAGGGGGTGACAGATTCAACAGAGTGAGGATAAAGTTACCCCAGATTAGGGAGGGCCTTGTGCCTGGCATTCTCCTAGTGAGATCCAGAGATACCCAAGCCCCCAAGAAGGGGTAAAGGCCACATAGCAACAGAGGCTAGAACGGCACAGCTGCAAGACAAGGACGCCCAGGATGGCTCATGGCCACCAGGGAGGGTCTCCAGAGCTTTTCAGGGGGCATACAGCTCCACCTTGTGACACCCCAACCCTGAGCTGTGGGAGAAGCCCTCACTGTTGCTGTGATCTCCTGGTCTGTGCTTCACTGCAGGGCAGCCCATGAAAATGCACACAGTTGGGCCACCTAGCACCCACTCAGCAGGGGTTCTGTGGGCCCAGGCTATGTGTGCTGTGCATGAGATAGTGAAGACCAATGTCAGGAAATGATGTGACCAAGTCTGGGAGACCCAGGCTCTTCCCAGTCTAATCCTTCCCTCATCACAGCGCTTTCTTCAAAGCCAGAAGAAGAGGGCCTCAATCCCCTTCCCTTTTGTCCAAGGAGCTGGCAGGCACACAATCAAAGCAGAATGGAAACAATACTGGCAACAAGGTGATGAACTTCACTGATGCCTACCAGCTGCTGGAGCTGTCTCCTCACTGTTGGATGTGCCTCCTCTGGGAATAGGGCAAAGCAGAGACCTGCATGGGATTTCCAAGGTCGTCCTGCCCAGAGCCATGTGTTCCCAGCTGTCACCAACACAGGTGGCTGGAGGAATGTGGGGCTGGAACACAGACCATGCTTGGAAGGGCAGGCTGGGACCAGTGTTTGATATGTGGGCCAGCCCTGGAGCAGCTGCGGGACTCCGATAGGTGAGGGCAGCCATGCAAGCCCACGATGGAAGGAAGTATGGACTGATACAGTGATGTGTGCCATGGCAAGGGCAGGCTCATACCTGACCCAAAATAGGTGGAGCGATAACTGCTGAGAAACTATGCTAAGAGACTCAGCAACTCCAGGTGGCGGGATCATCGGTGGGGGTGCTTGTCTTTTTAATGTGACTACCACCCCTACCTCCATCGCTGCTTCTTCTACTTGCTTCCTACAGCAGGACAGACTTGCTGTTTTAGCCAAGCAGGTATACCTTACCCCGTGGTCTAGGAAATGGCAGAAGACTTCTGAGGCCCAAGTGATGTAGCCTTCTCCTCCTGCTCCCTGCCTCCCTCTTCAGTACTTGTTCCATGTCGGACACCACGTGAGGGGTTGTGGACCCAGTGACAAGACAGACTCCATGATCATCAAGATTAGGGTTGGGTGGGAGGCAGGTTCACACAGGGATATAGGTTCTCAGATGGGGAAGTAGTGGGAGCTGTTGAGCAAAGAGGAAGAAGAGCTAAGCCATCTGGAAGGAAGTAAAGTGGGCTCCCTGGAAGAAGCAGCATTTAAGCTGAACCTGAAGGATAGGGGCCAAGAGGTTACAAGGAGAAGCTGTTGTAGGAGGCACTGATGTGAGAGGCAAAGCTGGAAGGAGGAGGAGTATAATGGTTTCCACTTTCCCCTGCAAAGCACTTTGCCAAGACTCTGGCATGGGACCCAGGCAGGAAGACTGTCTGCCCAGGGATGGGATCCCTAACTGCCAGGTTCTCTGGCCAGGTAGAGAGGTAAACAGACAGAAATCC